ACCTGACCTTGTCATGGTCAATATTCCCAACATTCATACGAAATTCAGTACTGATGATGAAAGAAGTTGATGTGTCTGAGATTTTTGAGGCTTGTTGCTAGGTTCTCTTACACTGGGTAGAAATCATTTGTATCTGTGGACTGACTGTACCTACCCAGCAATACTGATTTACTAGAAAATGACTTTAACCATGTTGTTACAATGCTGGCAACTACACTGAACCTCTCAGTCCTCAGAGAAGAATAGAAACTGATTTTTGTAGCGAGTTTTGTAACACACTCCAGCCTTGCAAATGAACCATTAGACAACTTTTGGACGTTCACCATAAATCAAATTTTACAATAAAATGTACTTTCTTAGGGTGGCAATGTTGTGATTTGGCCTTGTATGTAAGTATTTATTCAAAAAAAGAAAATTCCCTGAAAGTCTTTGCAGCCATATCAGCATTGCATGGAGATCACCAGGTGTTTGTCATAGAGGAGGCTTCTGTGTCTGTTTCTAGACTTAGGGAGTGTAACATTTATCTCAGCAACAGAAATGGTTTAAGTGCTGGCCAAAGGACTCTCTGTTGATTTTCAATGGTTTTGCCTGACCTTCTGGTAAGTTGTTTCACAGGAGATATTCAGACAAATGGTAGATACCATTTTGAAAAGAAGCTTTTTTTCTTTTTTTTTTTTTTTTTTTTTTTTTTTTTTTTTTCTTTTTGTTTTAGTTTGAGAGCTATAAATTGAATTAACTTGTGTGTTGTTTGCACTGTATTCACTCTTAGTGTGAGTGGAATCTCAGAGACTGAAGAAGTTCACATCTGCACTCAAAGGAAAACGCAAAGGACACCCTGTAAAGCAATTTCTTGAAGGAGTGAACTCTAGTTACTGCTTGAGCTTGTGGACTATGCTTGAGACTTCTGTATATAAATTCTTTAGTCTCTGGTTCATTTTCCAACACTGAAGTAAAATCCAGACTGTTTCAACATCTGTGTATTTTAAATGCTCTAGAACTGCATTCTGTTCAGGCTGGTACTGTTCTGACATTACTGTTGGGCCAGAAATCTTAACACAAGAACTAAATTGTACCATACTCACTCTGGACTGTAATATTTTTGTCTAACTTATTTTTTCAGAAACATTAATCAGTAGCAGATTGGTATGAGGGACAAAATGTTGTAGAAAGAATCTGTGGAGTGTTAATGAAAAGGCAGAAGTAGCAAATAACCCAACAGAGTGGCTGTTTGACTCCCAGCATCCTGGTCTAGCAGTACTTATTTATAAGTCATTATTAAGTGGTGTGGAGCATGACATGTAACTACCAGATATCACATCTTAAAGAACAAGCTGATGAATAAATCTGCCTAAAGTGTAGTTGAACCTCAGTTAACATCATAGGTTTACTTAAATCATGTGAGTGTTTTTTTAGGAACAGATCTGCTGTAGCCTGAAAAGGGTCCCAATTCACTTTTATTTGCCAGTGTTAATAGTTTCCTTGATAACTGTTTTTCCCTTGTTCATATGTGTTTGTATTTATTGTTCATGCACTCTTCTGGATTTCTTAGTCCAGTGTTTTGTTTGGATGTCTTGGGCAGTATTGCTACTAAATACTTTCTGCAGAGGCTGGATAGAGGGGATCTGTGGTGTTAATGTTTTTAAACTTGTATTTCTTCTGTTTGAAGAAGAGAGCCTAAAAATACTTACACTAGATTTGCATATTCTGTATAGATCTTTATATACTACTTCAGGTACGGAGGGAAGATGGTTTGGGAGAGTTGTGTTTACAGGTCATAGAGAATGAAGAGAGGGTATTTGAAAAGACCCTGCATTCTTTGTATACATATATAACAATGCTACTCTGATTTTTACTTATGTTTAGTACTGGTACTATGATTTTTATTTGCCTTCATTATCTGTTACCAGGATCTTCATTACTTAAAACTGAAGTTGTGCCTCTTGTCATCTCCACTGCATACCTTTTACAGAGATGTGGTTTGTGCTGTACTTTTTTTTTGTTGGTTCATACAATGTGCTTTGGGTTTACGAACCATACAGCAGGTTTAACTAAAGCAATAGGTTGTAATAAATATCGTGAACCAATGTGTGTTTCAGTCATTGTGCAGTTAAACTTCTCTGGGCTGATGTAGATTTTATTTTTTATTTGTGTATTAGACCTCGCTTTCTCCTGGAAGTCAGACCCGATGCAGTATCTCAGTATTTCCTATGTGTATGTGTAAATCCAGTGGGCCATTCTCAATGTAGGTTTTTAAATCTACTGGTTTATACATGCTTATGAATGTTCTTAAAATCCTACTAAAACCACTTTTGTATTACCTCTTTGAATAATATTTTTACAAGTCTTACACCACTATACCATTAAACATGTACTTACTAGAGAACACTAGAATTACTGACAAATTTTTTTTTGAGTGGTGATAGGCTGTTTTGTGCTGGAGAGGGATGTTGAGCTCTGTGTGACCAAATCAGGAAATGTTTAGATTCACAGGTTTGCACTTGCTTGGGCTGTAGGTCATAGAGTAGTCTGGTATTGGAGGTAGAATCTAGATCCTCAATTTTCCCATTCTATAGCCATGGGAAGCACCAGCATAGAGAAAGTCTCCTGTCTCCATGTTCACAGAATCATAGGATGGGTCAGGTTGGGAGGACCCACAGTGGGTCATTCAGTGCAAGATCCCTGCTCAAGCCAGGGGCATCTCCAGCAGCCAGTCCCAGCCTGTGCTGGTGCCTGGGGTTGTTCTTCCCAGGTGCAGGACCCTGCATTTGCCCTGGCTGGATTTCAGACAGCTCTTCCCTGCCCATCTCTCCAGCCTGTCGAGGGCCTTCTCAAGGGCTGCACAGCCCTCCGGGGTACCAGCCACTCCTCCTAGCTTTGTGTCATCAGTGAGCTTGCTGAGGAGGCATCTGCTCCTTCATCCAAGTAATTGATAAATAAATTGAACAACTAAGTATATTAGTGTTTGTGGAGAAAATGAAAACAACAAACACAAATCAAATCCTATCCTTGGTTGAATCCTTTCAAATTTTCATCTCTTCTAATTGTATACTGCATCTCATCTCTTAGTGCTGCTAATGGGACCAAAAGGGGTCCCTTGTGATATGTACACACATTTAAAATAATATATAATATAGTTTGTGATGATGCAATTAATGCTTTCTGACAAAAAGCCCCAAGACTGCAATGCAGATATACATCTACCTCAATCCCTGTGGGCATGCTAATCCAAGCAGAAGTAAAATTACTAGGTGGGAGGCTTTCTTTGTCTCATCTTTTGATGCCATTGTGCTTGCTTGTTTTCTTAGTTTGCTGGGAAATAACAAAATCAAGTAGTTTCTCTTTGGATATTAAATTTGCTGATAACAATGTCTGTGGATGGCTGAAACTGCACCCAGACACTGCTAATGGGTGATCTGTTGTTGACTATGAAACAATTCTTAGGCATATGTTTTAAAGAGCTTTCAGTTTTTCAGGTCCCCAACCTGGCACTGAACACTTTTAGGGATGAGGCATCCACAACTGCTCTAGGCATCCTGCTGCAGTGCCTCATCATCTTCTAAGAATTTTTTCCTAATATCTAATTTAAGTCTGTCCTCTTTAAAACCATTTCCCCTTGTCCTGTCACTATCTGGTAGTGTAAAAAGTCACTCTCACTCTTCAAAAGCCCACTTTAAATGCTGGAAGGCTGCTATGAGGTATCCCTGGAGCCTTCTCTTACCCAGTCTGAAGAGCCTCAGCTCTCAGCCTTTCATCCCAGGAGTGGTGCTTCAGTCCTTCACTGTCAGTGCAGTAGTGAGTAGAAAAGCAAAGAAATGCCCTTTTCAGCTTGTCTGCTGTACCATTTAGTAGGACAGGAGGAGTTAGAGCAGCTGCTGGCTGTTTCACAATGGTATTATGTTTGCTTCTTGCCTGTGTGTTGACTCTTCCTTCTGTGAATTCACCACCTGGTGCTGACTTGTTTGTAGTTGAAATGTCAGTGCTTATGCTTTTATTAATTTTCTTAAATTCTAGCCTGGTGACTGACGCTAATGACAGGAAATGATTAATGAATGGGACCTTGCCGAGAATGTGTCACATTCTCATGTTTGCATGGAGCTAATGACATGCTGCATTACCGGCTTTCATACATTTTCTGCCATTTTAATTGTTGTTACACTAAAGTTGGGTACTTGGTCTGCAGTTCCAGTTTATAAATTTCAGCTCTCTGTTAAAATGTTCCAGCAAAACAACTGTCAGCAGCTGCTAATAAGCTAATTGCTTTTAGTAAACTATTTCCTTCGCTACTTAATTATTTTTTAAGTTGTGATAGACTCTTAAAAAAAAAAAAAATCTGTCCTGTCTCTTGTAAAGTTTTTTGAGAACCTTTGGTGGAAGAATTAAGACTGTACTTCATGGAAATGAGGGAAAAGGGAGACTTTTTCAGGCTGCTCAGAGAGGGGAGATGTGATGGGGAATTGATGTTCTCTGAGGCATCTTAGGGCAGACCAAACTGTGGTGTCTGTGCTCTGGCCTCCCTGAAACTGCTCTGAACAGCTACAGTCAGTGACAAATTTTGCTTTACTTCAGGCTTGTAAGATGAGAAATTTTTTTCTATTTAAAAATGCTGGTAGGTTGTGCCAAAGCTCTGAAAAGGATTTGAAATGGCCATAGTTGTACATCACGTTGCTGGAACTCTCAGAATCTGGATTGGGGATTTAGATATCGCAGCTGGATCACAAAATTGTGGCTGCTCCTGCCCAGGGCTTCCCTGTTTGGTGCTGCTTTGCTGCCTTTATCATGAAGCAAGATTGGAAAAACCTGCCAGCAAGGTTTTGAGCCGGCTTGTTTGGCAAGCGTGGGCCACACCTCTGCTTCTCCCAGCTGGAGCACAGCCCAGTCCTGCGCCAAACTTCAGAGGAGCCCTGGCGAGCAGCGCTTCTTCGCAGCGGCGCGGCCGGGCTCGCCTCGCTCTCTGGGTTTCCCTGTCACATCTTCTGCAAGGGCAGCAGGACATTTTCCCCATGTTCCAGGAGGTGCTGCGGGGCCCTTTTCCAGCCAGAGTGCTGCCTTTTCTGGCAGCGCTGCTTTTCCACAGGAAGGAGAGGAGAGACACTGGGTTCTGTCACTGGCGGGTAAGAGAAATGGTGGTGCTGGCTCTGAGGTGGTGTTCCTTCCTTAGCTGATGTGCTCAGGAGTGACTTCCACATGTTGCTGCATGTGTGGAAAACCTGTCCTACACTTCCTCAGGAATTAAAAAGTTTATTGTTATCCACATTTTTCTCTTAAGGATCATGTTAATGGAGATTTCAGGCTTTTATAAATGTAGGGTCTGCCTGAGGAAATCCAGAGCAGATCTGTGTTTCCTTAGGTTTTGGGGAGCAGAATTGAGGTGATGTCAAGTACTTTTTGGGGGGAGAGTCCAGAATACTGCCTTCTCATCAGTAGAGATGAAATCATGCTCATGTGTTTTCTTGCAAAATAACCTTGACTACAGTTGCCTTCTGTTCAGCTTTCTATCTTAACCTACAGGCATTAATGATCTCAAGTAGACAAAGACTAATGATGGCTTTAGCTGCTGTTCATAATGCAGTGCAACCACAACAGAGTGGTTTTCAGGTGTTTGTCCTTTAACTGGAGTGAAATAATTTCATTGTATAAGATGGTCAGGCTAATAACTTCAATTTTGAATTAAGCTAAATGTTTATGAAGGAGCTTTTGACTGGAGATTTGATCTATAAGCTGATCACCCTTGTCATATTCTATCATGCCAGCCCCTCAATATGCAACTTAAAACTGAGGGGACCATTAATTGTCACAAGATAATGTGCTGCTTGTATAGCTTTCTGCACTTTTGATTGCTGTGTGATAGAAATAAACTTGTTGGGTTTTTAATATTATTGTTTAGTACTTAGGAGATCATGTTAGAAGAGGCCCATGTTAGCTTTCATTAACCTATAAACCACTGAATATATTTTCCCTCAGGCACTTGCTATTTAAATAAATTTTAAAAACAACTAAAAAACCCAGAAGAATACTGAACAAAATTTTACTGGCTGTAGGGAGAGATTTTAGTATTGACTAATTGATAGCAATTGAGCAAGGGGTGGGGCAGCAGATCACCCTTTTGGCATTGTAGGTAAATTCAACATGATCAGACCACTTTAATTTTCCAGAGTTTAGCCTTAGATTCACTACTAAAAGCAAATAACAATGAATTGAGAGTGAACCCGGTGTTTGCCACTGCTCTTGTGTTACTGAGCTCCTGGCTAACCATAAATCCTGCCTGCCAGAACACCGTGGTTCTTAGGGCTGTGTCTGTGTCTTCTGGGGGAGGGAGGGACAGTGCAAGGGGTGCCCAGGAAAGGCAGGGATTTCCTTTGGGGTTTAAATCAAACTTGTGACACCTAGGCTACAAGGAAGGGAATGATGTGCAGCAGTGTTTCTTTGGGGGCAGGAACAAGATGGGGAGAAACTGCTCCATTGGTAAACTGAACATTTTTTTGAGCTACCTAATTTTCCCAATAGCTGCAAACACAAAATATGCCTTAGCAAATGGAAACATGACTTCTATGATAGCACTTTTGTAATGAATCTGGCAGGCTTATAGTGAGTCCTCTGCATGCACTGAGACCTGCGGGGATGGATCCCAGCACTTACATCCCACTGTGTAAAGGCAGGTGTCCTGGACTATATGAAAGTAAAGATCACTGGGTCCTATAGCTGGGGTGACTTATTCTACAATCACTTCCAGCTGTATCAGCATCTTCAGTTTAGACAAAAGATACAGACAGTTGTTTGCAAAGTTAAATATGTGAAAATTCAGCCTTGTACCCTCATTTTAGGACTTAGGACTTAAAGGGGGATTTTCTTTTTTTGCTTCAGTTGCACTTCTGGGCTCTGGAAAAGCAGTGATTCTGAAAAATCATTAAAATGCAAAGCAGCAGTTAGCTGCTTTCGTCAGTCACGTGCATTGGTATGCTGCCATGCAGAGTGCTACAGGCAGAGCTGCCATCAGTATTTGCTGTCCATTTCCCATATGGATTTCTTGCCTGCCTTTTCCCTGATCATTCAGGTAGGCCATATCTGATACTCCCATGCTTCATTACTCTGCAAGCTCACCTGGCAGCATGCTATGACCTTGCTGTGCCTTTGCTAAAAGATAAGTAAAAAAGGCATGTGAGGAGGTTCTGGTATTAACTGATTGCACAGGCACAGTGGCATTTCTGTTGAGTTGTATGCCCTTAAATTGTGGTCTGGATGTGAAAAATGTATCTTCAGGAGTGTAATGACTAGCTGCAAATTGAAGGTGTTAGAGACCTTTGGAAAGGACTTTCTTTTGAGCATGTAAGTACATTTTTGGCAGATGTGCAATAAAAGAAGGATAGGCTTTCTTCATGGTGCTCTGTGCTTGCTCTGATAGTGTCTGATTTCCAGGCAACAGCCATGCTATGTGAATGAAGATTGCTTTCACAGCCATGGGGGTGTGATTATGTAGTTTAATGTCTCAACAAACAGAAGAGTTGCAGAACTTAAGGAAGTTGGTGAGAATAACATACTCAATCTTGAATTTCTGTCTGTAATCTATTCCCCAACTTGATGAAGTGGAAAGGTGGTCAGCCTTAGCCTGAGAAACTAATGTCAGAGATTGAATAAAAGGAAGGTGATTAGGAAAGATCTAAAGATGAAAGAAACTAGCATCTGAAGGGTGGAAGTCATGGTGAAATTTGCTGTGAAGGCATGTCTTGTTCACAGAAACAAATAAAGGAATTAATATCTTCAACATGTCATTTCTGCAAATAAGTGTCTTTAAGATTAGTAACAGTATAACTGAAGTTTATTTACACAGATTTGATTTAGTACCTGCATGTGAGAAATCTTAGGTGACTCATGCAGTTTTTGTTCTTTGCTTGTTGATCAGGATGGATGGTGCTTGCTTAATACAAAGAGGTTCAGTATACTTTGTATGTCGGTTTTATTGTGTTGTTCAAACTCTGTTTTCCAAAAGCTGGCAAGTATCCCCCAGAGATGGAAAATAAGGAAGACTCACAAAGAATGTGACTGCTTAACAAACACAGTGTAATTCCATTTATCAGATAAGGAACATTCAAGAAGAGTTTAACAGTTCAGGATTCTGGTTTCTGTGAGATCCCACTCAGCAATATGTAGGCCCTACATTTTTATGTAATATTTCAAGATTCATAGAATTGAAGAATGGTTTGGGTTGGAGGGGATTTTAAAGGTCATCTTGTTCCAACCCCCCTGCCATGGGCAGGGACACCTTCCACTAGACAAGGCTTCTTAAAGCTCCTGCCTGGCCTTGGACACTTCCAGGACAGGAATGGGCATTCACAGCTTCTCTGGGCAACCTCTTCCAGTGCCTCATTTGTTAATCTGCAGTATTTTGTTGTAAGTGAAGATCTTGTTGAATTTAATTGTAAGTGAATACTTAGCATATCTAAAATTAAACTATGGTCTCAAGCCAAGCATGTTAATGTAAAGTAATGACCATTTGTGAAAAGCATTTTGAAAATGCGATTTAAGAATAGGAAAAGTTCTTAGCTGGCCAGGATTGTGTCATAACTGATGAAAATGAGGCAATATCCCATTCTGTTTCTGAGCCTTACACAATTACTTCTGTGCAGTCTCTGTACTAGATCACCTCAAGCTGTTCTCTCTTGTGCCCTGCCCTCCCCCCACTTCTCCTTCATGATGTTCTAGGATCTAGTCAGACTTTTTTCCCCCACTTCACATCCTGGCATTTATATACTAATATTACTTTCCAAAAATAGTCTCCCAGAAGCTTTCAAGAGTAAGGATTACATTTTTATCTGTGCTGGTTAAGTGACATGCATGTTTAGAATGCTGATACCAGTTAACAGTACAGAATGAAAATGAATTTAAGTTTTGTCTTTTCTAACTCAAGCTGCCATGGAGTGTTTTGCCAAGCATTTTGTTTTTTTTTTTCTCATTGTAAACAGCATGTGCCTTTATGACTTTAGACCCTGCTGTTAAGATTCTTGCCATGTCTGCTTTTACTCAAGCATTCATGTGCCCTTTGCCAGTACTCTTGAACTAGCTGTCGTGAATGTGTCTGAGCAGCTTTAGCACCAGACTCAGCAAGCATGTACTAACAAAGCAATTAAAAACTGATCTATAATTAGAGGAATCCCTAAATAAGGGACTTACTTTCTGAAATCCATGAGGACACTAAGACATCGCTCTTGCATTGCCAAAAGGGAATTGAGTTTCCTCCTAGGCTCCTTTAGTCATCTTCCAGGACACTGAAAGTGCTGTGTGTGTTTCCAAACTGATTCATTAATAGCTCATTTTGGGCTGGCTAGTTTTGATCCATTTCTGTGGTGTAATACTAGCGTGGTTACAGAACAGGCATTGCAATTGAGCTAAATGCAATTGAGCTTGTTTCTCTCTTTTCAGCGGGAAAAACATCCTTACTACAACCTAACAGTAAAAGTCCTCCGAGCCAGAAACATCAAGGGTACAGATGTGTGTAAGTATTTACTCAAGGCAATATGAAAACATGTTGGTTCCTTGGTGCATACCTCTAGCACAGAGAGCATTGTTAAGGGAGCCTCTTATCTACACATGCTGCGTTGTCTTTATGTGTCAACAAAAGCTTCTCATGTAAAGCATTATATATATAGTATAAAGTATATTATCTGTATTTCAAAAGCTTTATGTAAGGCCAATCTGCAGATCAAGCAGCTTCAGTTGCTCTTACTTTGCAGATCAAGATCAAGTCAGTCCTAGTAATGTTTTGCTTCTCTACTCCTTCACCTGTTCTACTGTGGCCCATTCTGTATCCCTTTCTCTGGATTCAGCCTTCTGGGTATGGCAAGTTTCACCCTTGCTCCTGTGGAACAGTCTTCCTGAAACTGGAAGTAGAAATCTTTAATTCTAGCTTTCAAATGTTTATTTTCTCAGTTGTAGTAGTGCTTTGTATCATGTGTCTGCTATTAATTTTTCATTGCAGACTTTAAAAGAAGTAGGTGGTTGACTGCTTCTAAGATAAACTGCTTTTTATTTGTTCCTGGTTTTGATAGCATGGTATATATTCCCTCCCATTTACACACCTGTGTAAATGTCTCAGGGCTGTTTGGGGCATTTGTATCTTTAAAACTCATTTATATTAAATTATTTCAGATTAAATCAAATAAGATAGTCAGCCTTAAGTTTATATCTGACATCCAGCATTGAACTACTTGGTATGCCAAATAGTTGTTCAGGGAACAGAAAAGCCTCCTGAGAGGCTGAGGGCTAGAATCATGTTGTGAAGAGTTATTTTCTATGGCCTGTCTATTCAGCTGGAGTGAAGAATGGTCTCTGTACCTGCATTGTTGAAGGGGCCCTATATGGAAGAAAGAAGGGCTCTGAGACAGTAATTTGTTTTCAGGGAATGGAAACAGACAGCCCAGCTCCTGGCCTGACTAGACAAGTGTACAGCAATAGTGGAATTGTCTCTGTGGACTTTAAAAGGCTTAGGCTCTTTCAGTGGTGCCCAGGGATAGGGGAAGAGGCATAAGGCCTGGTATCAGCAGTAATCTTTTTTTTAAAGTTGATCTTCTTTGTTTTAAATATGAGCCATTTTTATTAAGAGTTTTATGATTTTGATGAACCAGAAAAAAGAACTATAGGCACCTAAAATTCAATTTGCTTCTTTTTGAAGACATTTACTTCATTAAAGGCTTTTGCTTTAGAAGTCCATTCTTAAATTTGCACCTATGATGCAATGAGATCTAGAAAATGAAGAGCTCATGGGAAAGAGCATGTTTGAATAAAGATTTTCTGGTACTGTCTCTGCTGCAGTATCCAAGGCAGACTGCTATGTGGAACTAAAGCTGCCCACTGCATCTCCCAGTGTCTCCCGAACTCAGGTTGTTGACAACTCTGAGAACCCAGAATGGAATGAAACTTTCCAGTATCGAATCCATAGTGCTGTCAAGGTAAGGACACTGTGTGGAGCAGGTTGGATTACTTTTGTTTTTGTACTGGCTTGCTTTTGATACTTCATTCAAAACCAAGGGTTCTTTTTTACCCTCAAAACTTGTGTTGCTTGTAAGGTGTCAGTTGTCTTCAGTGGTACAAAAAAGCTGTATCAAAACTGCTGTGGTTAACTGCTCTCTCAAGCAGTTAGTTGCAGATAGAATTTTCCATAAACATTCACATGGTGCATCTCAGGAAAGGGAAGTTTTGGCACTACCTGGTGGAATTCAAGGAATTTCTTTGATAAGCAAGATTCTATTTGATGTTTGCTTCTTCTTTCACAGGAACTAAATTTCTACTCGCTACCACATAGTAGATGAGCAAGCAAAACTTGACTGAATGAACTATCTGTAGTAGATGGATACCTATACAGTATTTAACAAAGTCTTCAGATTGTCAGCATTCATTCTCAGAGCAGACACTGATGGTAGGGGGAAGGAAACTTTAAAAGATCAGTTTTAGTGGGGCACTATTGCTTTGAATAACATCCCAGACTTTGGAATGAGATGTCTATTAACAAGAAGCCATTCCCCTCATTAGAGTACCTTTCCACAATTGTTGGTGACAAATGTGGAATGGTAGTTGATGTGACTGGTAAGAAAATTGAAAGTTAAACTTTAGAGTGTGAGATCTTTTTCTTCGCCTCCAAGCTCATGAGACCTCAGCCTGGTTACTGCTGGAGACTGCCAGCAAAATGCTAAGTTCAATCTTGTCTCCTTGGGAAGTAGTCGCTGCAAGGCTGTTATTTGGGTGCATATAGTGTATCTGTTTCAGTTTCTCTTGAATTTAGCATCTCTGAGACAGTGCTGAGCAGGAAGTGATTGGTCTCTATAACATCCCGAATTACATCATCATGAAAGAGTGGAAATTGCTATTGCTTCCTTGGGCAAATCTGTGCCTGGAGCTGGTGGAGAGTACTGCCACAGGAGTTCAGCTGGGGCCACCCTCTAGGTGGGAAGTTGTGAAAAATGCTTTAGCTGAATGGTGTCAACTAGAAGAATTTTTTGCTTAACTATGCTGTAAGCCATGTTGAAAATACTGAATTTTACTTAGGACTGGGGAAGGGTATTGATAATGCACAAAGTGTCTAATGTATGCAGCTACCCAGGTTTGTCAGTGTTTCTGCCTCTTCATCTTAGGCTGTTTGTTTCTTTCTGCTTTTAGAACATTCTCCAGCTGACCCTCTATGATAAGGATGTCCTTGTCAGTGATGAGCTCACCTCTGTTGTCTTCGACGTGGGGGGCGTGAGGCCGGGGCAGCCCCTGCAGCACACCTTCAGGCTGGACCCCGAGGTGAGGCTCTGGCTGCAGCTCATCCCTGCACAGACCTGGCAGTGCCTGCTGCCTGATTATCTGTGTGGGAGAAGCCAGAAGGGAAAAATGAATCAGCTTTTGATCAAATGGATCAAAAAAGAATCACCACACCATATGCGTGGTGATGACAGCACATACGGCTTTACTGTTAACTGAGATGTTTGCAAGTTCTCTAGTAATTTTATTTCTGTGTTTTCCAGTCTTTGGGATGCTTCAGCTAAATAAAATTTGGGATTACTGCTGTCTTTCAGGAATGTTAAAACATCTTTAAACAGAATTAGTTTCTCATGAGACTTAGAGGAATATAAACTGATTTTAAAATGAAAGGCATTTGCAGTCAGTGATCGTTTTAGGGACTGCCTTATTTATTTTGTAATCATTTGTTTGCAAAAGAAAATGTTTATTGCTGCAAATGTTACCTCTATATCTAGTAAGTCAAAAGCCTAAGATGTATTTATTTTCCATGGATTATGTTCAATACATTTAACCTCTGCTTCATGTAGATGGTATTGGTGATCAGCTGCTCTCAAGCCTTGTTCACCTGTTCATGAACTTAGAAGACAGCCTGTTTTATGTGGGTAAAAGCCACATCAGCAGGCTGATCTATTTTGTAATGCCACAAACATATTGCTACAATAGGTCTGGATTAAAGGTGAGCTAATGATGTGTTTTCTTGAGAAATTTGGCTCAGTGCTGTTGGTGTGGTCAGAAGCAGACTAACTGGTGTGCAGTTCACAGGGAGGTGTTGGGCAGTGCCACATCATTTATGATCATGGAAAGAGACTTAGTAATACCATTGCTCCCACTAGCTCTAGCCATTTGCTGAATGCTTAAGTCATCTTTATCTGTAATTAAGAGACTTTCAACTTCAGCAAATAAAATTACCCAAAACAGGTTCCAGTTTGTTACTTTAAAAACTGTGTTAGGTCTGGTATCAAATATTTGCTGTATGTTATGGGAGGAGAAAAACTGGCTGGAACAAAGTCTGTAGAGGACAAAGACAGCAAGAAGCTAAGAGTGCAAGCTGCTGAAATAACAAATGGGAAGAAGCCCAAAGCCTCATGTAGAAGCTGTTTGCAGAGATGATGTTGCAGTGGTTCTTGAACCAGAGGAGGTGTTTTTTCTCTCATTAGCAGAGTAATGGGTCTGAGAGCCAACTCTCAGTCTGTGCACTTGTGTCTTAAAATCTAGATGTGTCTGGTCATATAGGACATGTCCAGCAGAAGAGGAGTATTTGAAGGCTACAGGCTACATTTAACCATTTCAAAATTTTATTGTAGCTTTTATAAAAGGAAAAAAAAAACAGTTATTTTAACAGGAAGTTACTGTCACTATGTAGCAGGAGAAAAGCTTAATCTCTTGGGAAATGTCTCTTAACTATATATTCAGGATCAAGGGTCACCAATATCCAATTTTCATTTTCAAAGGCTAATGAAGAGCTGGATGTAGAGTTTTTCTTGGAGAAATGGTGAGTCTTACCTGAAGAGCTGATTGCACTTGTGCTCTGCAGATATGTTGTCAGTTGCTTTTTCTGTGTGGAGGTAGTCGTGCTCATAAAAAGTATAATACTTTATAGTTATCTATGGTGATTGAGTTGATTCACTAATGGCTAACTAAAATTATCCTTTATACTCCAGTCACCAAAATTTTTGGAGTAAAAAAGAAGTAAAATTTTGCTGGACTTCATGGGATGTAAGAGGACACTTTCTGAATTAGTTATTTGGGAGTGGAAATTTTTCAGTTAACCTTGAAAAATACACAAATGTATACTTTATCTATCTAGTTGTCTATATCTAAGTTCAGCTTTTCTCTAGGTTATCAAAATAAATGAGATAGGGAGATTCTATAGTGGATGCTTATATTTGCAGACATTTTTTTTTTAATCTTTCCAAGTCCCCATTATTTATGAAGGGAAATATACTTGCTGTTTCCCTGAATCTCCCACACTGAGGATCTTTTCATCCCACTGCTTATTCAGCTAATTAATTTGTCAAGTAGGATGAAGCAAAATTAAAACCAGTTGCCATTTGCAATAAACCTCTTGCTTTCACAGCTCAGATGCCCCTACAGAAGTATTGACCAACGGAGTCCTTGTGGTGAGTACATGGAAGCCAGAATCATGTGTGTTGTGACTTACTGCTGAAGATAATTTTTAAATAGAAAGAGGAGAAGGTTTTTTGAGTATTGCAAGTCCTACTTCCAAATAGCTCCTATTGTCACCAAGATCTGCCTGTCTCTTTTTCAATTTGTTGATTTAAAAAAACTTCCTCAATTTTTAAACTTGATGCTGACTTACAGAAAGCTGCAGTTTTTTGTTTTGGGGTGTTTGTTTGTTTGCTTTTTCCCTGTAAGGTTGCCATAAAATTTTTTAAAAATATCTTTAGTAGGCAAGTGAGTCTTGAAGATTGTACTGTGTTTTCTAGACTAGATGATGTCCAGGAAGAGTCCCTCTTCTTGTCTTAACTCATTTCTAAGCTTTTATCAATGTCATTTTAAGTAGGGGATCACTCCCTGTTTTTTTTTTTTGGGTTAATCAATCTAAGGAAATCAGAGTGCTATACAGTAAATGTAAGTGTTACTGCCTCTTTGCTGTCTTGAAAAAAAAGGGACTGGAGTAATGTATTTTTGTAAGGAGAGGAATCCTTATGTAGAGTTTTGACTTTTTTCCCCCTGAAAAATTGGCGGCAATTAACAGCACAGTTCTGAAAACTATTTCATGGGAAGGAACCTTTTGTGTTCGGATTTCCCTTAGCAAGTCAGTCTTTTTTCAAGCAGTGGGCTAGTTTTTTATCTTTTAGGGCAATTGTGTCCAAATCAATCTCTCATCTACTCTCCTAGAGGGTAAGCTGATGGCTGAATGGTGTGAGAGACTAAATTTCATGAGGACACAGACAAGCTGGGACAGAAATTTATAAAGTGCTTGCTTGGATCTGAATAGGTTCTGAATAGGTACTCGTACATATATTTAAAAAAGGTAAAACAACCAAGAAAAACTCCAGGTATTCATAATTTGTAAATGTGAAGTACTGGTTGTAAAAAAATCCAGTTCTTGAAACAGAAAGGATGGTTTTTATTTTGAAACAAAAACTAAGAATCCTGTCCTACTGAAACAAAATTTGGTCTTTATTTGAAATAACTAAACAATGCCTAATTTTTTTTTTTTGACAGTTTGCAACTGTAAACCTACAACTAATATAGTAGATGAATTAAACTTCAACAAAGAAGTGCACTAAAAATTGTGTCGCCAGAGCTGGTTTCTTTTTTTCACAGGTTCGTCCTTGCTTGTGTCTGCAAGGCACTGTCAACAAAGAGGAAAATGCAAAAGAGAAACAGCAAGGTAGGGCTGCCTGGAGCATTTAAGTCAGGGCTACTCTTCCACATGTTTGAGAGAGAGGGGACACTTGATTCTCTGTCTATACAGTGTATTTTAATTTACTGACTACAAAATTGACTTTAAAGGTTTGCTTTTATTTTCAATAATCTATAAGATTGGGTGTTTTCTACTGGGTACCACACAACAGAGTTTTTGCTTGTTTTCATAGTCTCAGCTACACTTAATATGTACTTGATTTTCAACAAATGGCCCCTGTGGTCTAAACTTCTTTTTCTAATGCACAGGATGCTGTGAGGTCAAGGTGTCTGTCCCAGGCGCATATCAAAAGCAGTTATCTATTCCTTGGACACCAGACAATGAGAAGGATTATGGAACCTCATTTGTCTTTCATGTGGATAAAGAAATGTGTCCAGAACTGCAAGTGGAGTTGCAGCAAACCATATCTGTCCTACAGGTAAGCATCCATGCTGATTCCACTAAGCTTACAGAGAGACAAGTTTTTCTCTATTGTTTTTTACACACTGGTTTGGTTTTTTGGTGGT